ATATTTACAAAAATATATATAAGAATAAGTTTATATTTTTTTATTATATATAGAACCCCACGGGTCTCCGTATAGCGGAAGAAATTCCCTATGAAATCTCATGAGGAAAAAAATACCTTTATCCCCTCCCACGAGGAGAAATATTTCATAATCTCCATCCCTGCAGTATGGATCTTGAAGAAAATTGCCATCCCTAATTTTATTTTTATTGGTTTATTTACTAATAATGTTATAATTATAATATTATATAAGATTATAAGTTTATAATCTTATATAATATTAGATAAAATGACATAATATTAAATAAATAAATACATGTAATATTATAATATAATAAATAAATTTTTAAATAAAAATATTAATTATATAATAATATATTATAGAATAAATTTATAATATCATGTGATATTATAAATATAATATTTTCTTTTACCAACATATTCTCACTTTAAGTTTTACATTAGGGCTGGACACTATACCATAAATGCTACAATTACCATTGTACCGTTTTATTACCAGTGGAAACGGTATGGTAAATTACCATATGATAAGTCTAAATAGTAATATGACAATACTATTTAGACTTGTGGTACGGTATTGGTATTGGCGGTATTGGTATTGGAGGTCATTACCATTTTTATCATATGGTTACCAAATTTACCACCCATTCAAAACTTTTTCCTATTTTTTTTTAATTCTACAAAGTTTTCAATTGTTGCTAGTTCTCTTTCTTTTTTTTTTTTTATGTGTGCATGTTTTGTATAATTATATATTTGTATGCTTCAAGATGATGAAGAACGGTATGGAGAAAATAAGTTTTTAAGATAATTTTGAGCTTTTAAGATAATTTTGAGCTTTTAAGATTGAATTTTGAATGACTTGAATTAATTAATAATGAAGAAAATAAGTTTAAAAATGGTAATATAGTATGGGATTGGTAAAGCAAGTTTCATTACTATTAAAAACGGTTGGCAACCATTATCAAAAAATCATCAATTGATATAGAAATAGTAACTCTTTTTCATTACCACTTAAAATAATTACTATCATTTAAATGCGGTACAATTACCATACCATACTATGCCCAGCCCTAATCGAAACAAGTGGCCTATAAGAGCTGCTTCCATTCTACACAACTCTCAACCTTGGAAAAACCTTCAAATAAATGGGAAAGGTACATTTATTATTATTAATATATATAATAAAACTAATTATATAATAAAAAATATCTATATATCATAAGTATTAAAATTAATATTAATTTTTTATTTTATTTAAATTAATATATAATTAACAATAAAAAATAAAAAATATATTTTTATTTTGTATTTTTAAGATGCACATAAAAAACCCTAAATAAATATATGTACTTTGATCGATGAGAGATAAATATGCATTGAATGAGTCTTTAGTTTAATGTCTTATTATCAGGGTCAAGGTCAAAATTCCATGAAAGAAAAAGTCAAATAATATCTCCGAAGTGGGACCCCGAGCAGTTGAAATTGATAACTATCGTAATTAAAAATTCCAAACTCCTCGTTCTCCCTACGCTTTGGTTGAGGGCAAAAACATATTTTAAACCTCTTATTTTATTAAGTTTGAATGTTTTAGTCCCTTATGTTATATTATGATATTTTTAACCTCTATTTTACTAGATTTTTAAGTTTTACCTCTTCACTTATTAAAATAAAAAAAAATAACCCTCACTTTTACTGATTGTTAATTCTATTAGCTAAAAATAGATTTTATCAACTAACAGTTAACTAATAGTTAATTAACAAAATTAACAAAATATTATAAAATTAGTTATATTAATTCTATTAACTGAAAGAAG